GCCTTCCGAGTGCTGTGATTTAAAGGCATGTGCTAACATCACCAGCATTTTTAAGGATAAGAACCAGATAAAAATGCATTGCCTCCTGGCTGGAATGTCTCTTCTGGAGGAAAATAATGACCCTTTCTCCAAGTAACTAATGAATTAGGTGACATTGCGTGCAGAGAAGATATTAGGAACCACTTAAATCAGCAGGTAACTTTCAGCTGTCCAAGGAGCTTAGCAGGACTTGGTATGGTTTGAGGAATTCCTGGTACTGTTGATACAAAAGCATTGTTGTGTGCTGGTGCCTACAGCTTGAAGTACAGTGTATGAAGGAGGCTAGAGGCCAGTTAGCAGGCTATTAGAGCATCCCCTTTGGTTGAGTGAGACCAAGGAAATAGCCACAGAAAGCAGGAGTAGGAGATAGTTTATAACAGGGAAGAGCTGCTAGTTGGAGTGTGCAGAATAGTATACATAAGCTGGAGATGCTAATGTTGAGTACTAGAACCTGGATTTCTAAATACTCAAGTCCTAGAGGAAGCAGTGTGCTTTGTAGAGGAGAGCTGCTCTGTTGCCACTCTGTGTCCCCCTGCCTGTGTGCATTGTGATGTGTGTGTCATTGCTCACTGGAGTTCTGATCCATATAAAGAGGATTTTCCTTCTTCCTGCCTTGCTGCCTCAGGTCTGATATGATGTCTGTCTTCTTAGGTGAGAGACCGTATCTGTGTGACTATCCAGATTGTGGAAAAGCCTTTGTTCAGAGTGGACAGCTCAAAACACATCAACGTCTTCACACCGGAGAGAAGCCTTTTGTCTGTTCAGAAAATGGTATAGTATTAGAAGTGATATTTTAGTAGTTATATTTAGTTTTACTTGATTTTTAGTATTCAGCTGGTAGTTTAATTTAGATTTTTTGAGAAGAGAGTATTTTTGAAAGGCTTTTATAAAACATCATAAGCCTCTTACCCCCATGCTATGGATTAAGTCCAAGTCTTTGCACTTGCTAGAGAGATATTCTAAATTGGAGTAAGTGTATCTTTTTTTTGATAGTGTATCTTTTCCTTTTATAAAAAAATTTTTAAATATGAGTGCTCTGCCTGCATGCATGCCTGTGTGACAGAAGAGGGCATCAGACCCCATTATAGATGGTTGTGAACAGCCACATGGTTGCTGGAATTGAACTTATGGAAGAGCAACCAGTGCTCTTAACCACTGAGCCATCTCTCCAGCTCCATTGTGTATCTTTTCTTAAAGTGATGTATTTTTAGTGTGTGGTCAGGGGACCACTTGAATTCTGGGACCACTTGGATTCTAGGAAGTCAAATTTAGGTTATCAGGCTTGGTTGCAAGTGCCTTTATCCACTGACTCATCTTGCTGGCCCTTGAAGTGTTATTTTTTTAAAATCACAGTATAAAAAAAGGTGCAAATTTCCAGTTATTATTTCAGTATAGTTCTTTTTTATTTTTCTTGATTATTTTTCTAAATCTTAATCTTATAAATGTTTATAGCCTATTCATTTTTAGTTTCCACATATGAGAGGAAACTTTTTTGTTTCTTTCTGAGACAGGGTCTCACTGGGTAGCATTGCATGGCCTATATAGACCAAGATGGCTTCAGACTCAAAGAAATCTTCCTGCTTCTGCCTCTGCCTCCTGAATGCTAGAATCAAAGGTGTGCAACACCATGCCTGATTTGATAGAAAACTTTTATTTTTTAAGATTTATTTTATTTATGAGCATGTGTTTACCTGTATGTATATATATGTGTGTATCATATGTGTTCTTGGTGCGTAGAGGTCAGAAGAAGGCATTGGAGCCCATGGATTTGACTATAGAAGCTTGTTTGGCTATAGAGTGCTGCATCTCTCTGTCTTCATTTGCTTTGTTACATACATTGAGGCTGGACATGTTTAGTATGTCTGAATTTCCAGATTCTAGTGAACATTTCTTCTGTGTTTTAAAGGCTGCCTAAGCAGATTCACCCATGCAAACCGCCACTGTCCAAAGCACCCCTATGCCAGGCTGAAGAGAGAAGAGCCAACAGACACACTCAGCAAACATCAGTCTGCAGACAACAAGGCTGCTGCTGAGTGGCTGGCAAAGTAAGGCCTGCTATGTTGTCTCCCTTGGGGGCTTGGTTTATGGGTTTATGTTACATTTTGAGAATTTTCTCATTTTAAATTATTTTATACATATTTTATAAAATAGTTCAGAATAACTCTTAATTTCTTATAGAGTTGTTATGAGTACTTGGTATCTGTGTGTGATAGAAATGTAATAGTTTATTTATATGCCTCAATCACAGAGTATCTCACTGTTGAAAAATATTGCTGGAACACTCATGAGTTTTCAAGTCATGGCAACAAGGAGGTCAGTGTCTTTCTCTGAGGACATTTGACTTAGACTTGTCTGTTGTAAACATCATTACTGATTCTCTGCAGTGCTGCTGGGTGCTGCTACAGTTCTACCTCCCCCTAGCCATGCACTGTTTTGGGGCCTCGCTCTTGGCTGGAGGGCTCACTTCTTCCTTTAGCCAGTCCCCTTGTCTTTATTTCTTACTCAGACTAATCATTTCAGGAAAAGCTTACCTGACTTACCAAGGAACTTTTAGAACAAACAGGCTGGGACTCACTTCACGGATGCTTCTTTCTAAGAGGCTAGTATCATCCTGAGTATGCAGCCCAGCCCTTTTCCATAGTATTCAGAACCCCAGTGACCTGTTGTCATTCTCTTGTTCTCGTCCTCAACCTGTACTGAACTAATGGTTCTTTTAATGTTTCTTTTGTACTGCCAATATTCCTAATGTGAGGACATAGATTCCTGAAATGACATAGTTGCACTCTTCCCCAGCTAGCATTGATTTTCTGGGATTGTAAACTAATTTGTACTCTTGAGAACTTTAGAGAAATGTCATTGAATGACTGCTTTCACTCAGCCTCACTGTTTGAGGTTCATCCATATTGAGTGTATCAGCCCATTCATTCCCTTTGTTTTTCTGGGTAGTAATTTATTGTGTAGACTGCTTAGTCACCTTTGGATGTTAGTGCTGCTTTTAGCTGTTATAAAAAAGGCTTGAGCATTAGTATATAGGGCCTTGTATTGACACTTGTATGTGGTGGCACTATCATTTAAATATGCACTTTAGACACGGAGTGGACATTTACATTTTCTCTTGAGAGTTATTGGGTGCTACAGTAACAGGCTAGAATTGAAAGTAGTGTTAAATTTTTGGGTGAACTGTGTATTATTAACATTATTTTCTTAATCATATTTCTTTTTTAATTTTTTTTTTTTTTTTAACAGGGTTTCTGTTTTGGTTTTTCAAGACAGGGTTTCTCTGTAGCTTTGTAGCCTGTCCTGGAACTTGCTCTGTAGAACAGGCTGGCCTTGAACTGACATAGATGTGCCTGCCTCTGCCTCACAAGTGCTGGGATTAAAGGTGTGTGCTACCAGCAGCTATTGGTCATATTTTATAGGCTTAATGTGTAATCCTGTCAAAAGTTACCATTGTTGCCCCCCCCCCCCAAAAAAAAAGCTGAGCAGTGGTGGCACATGCCTTTAATTCCAGCACCTGGGAGGCAGAGACAGGTGGATCTCTGAAGTTAGTGGCCAGCCTGGTCTAGCCTGGTTTGTGTTTTTCCTGGAGTTGGGGGTTGAACTCAGGCCCTTGATACATGCAATGCAAATGTTCTACCTCTGAACTACGTACTCAGGACGTAGTGAACACAATTAGAGAATGGAGCATGAAGTCTGAAACAGCACTTGTTTGATTATAGATGCCTGAAGAGGAGTATTCACTCCTAAATTTAAGTTCCCTGTGTAAATGGGTCTCCCATGGACTACCTCCAAATAGTGAGAAAAACAATTACTAAAGAACTGCTTTAACAAAGTCTATCAGGTACTTTGATCGAAGTAATCCCTCTATATCATCCTTTTCTCCTAGTCACCTTAATTCCCTCAGACATGCTTGTTTCTACTTTCTTTCTTTTTTAAAGATTTATTTATTTATTGCATATACACTGTTCTACCTACATGCTAGGAGAGGGCACCAGATTGAATTGTAGATGGTTGTGAGCCACCATGTGGTTGCTGGGAATTGAACTCAGGACCTCTGGAAGAACAGTCAGTGCTCTTAACCTCTGAGCCATCTTTCCAGCCCTTGTTTCTACTTTCATGATGTATAAATGATTTGATGAAACTGTCAGACCACAAATGAAAGAAAATATGATATATGTCTTTTTATGTCTACATCATTTTGTTCTTAATGGCTGAATAAAATCTGTTATGTATTATTTACTGTTGTAAAGGTTTGTAGGGCCTAGGAGAATGGAGCCAGTAAATGAGGCTGCCTAAAGTCTCATGCAATAGCCAACTTATTCAGAGCATCAGACAGTTTATACTCTGAGGGTTAAGAGGAGTCACATGAGGGCTCACAACCCTCTATAATGACATCTGGTGCCCTCTTCTGGTGTTTGGAGTATATGCAGACAGAACACTGTATACATAATAAATAAATCTTTAAAAAAAATAGCTCAATATATATACATACATACATACATACATACATACATACATACACATATGTATAGGAGTCACATGAGTAAAGTGTCCAATCACAAGGGCAATCTTAACAAGTTACAAAAGCCAGTTGTAATGAATAATCCTAAGTAAACTCACTCCTATGTGCTACACCTGGGAGGGGCATAAAAACATAGTCCAAGAACAATTACGTGTTTTGTTTTGTTTTGTTTTTTTTAAGAAACAGGTATCAAGACTCTTGTCTTGGTTTCTTGCAGTTTTCTCATAAGCACTCAGAAATTCTCACACGATTTACTTCTTGGATCATGTTCCAACATCTCCCCTTTTTATTATTTAAGTTTTGGTGTTTTGAGACAGGGTTTCTCTGTAGCCCTGGCTGTCCTGTAACTCACTCTGTAGACCAGTTGGCCTCTAACTTGGAGGTCTGCCTGCCTCTGACTCTGCCTCCTGAGTGCTAGGATTAAACGCATGTGCCACCATTGCCTTGCATTCCTTTTTTATTTTTGAAATACAGGATATCCAGTGTGGTTTTGATTTGAGATATAAATAAGTTGTCATTTGATGCATGAATAGCCTATGAGCAAGCAAATTATAAATGTAATGAATAATATTAGAATAGTGAAAGTGTTGTGTAACACTCTGCCACCAAGAACAGGGATCCAAACTCTGCCCGGTAAGCACTATTATATTGATTATAATAGTCACATTATTATATTGATCAGAAAAACCTAGAGATTAGTTTGAAAAGATCCATATGACTAGAGGTTCTGGGCTCTTAGAGAATAAAAGTCCATATTTGCCCTTTAGTAGGAATACAAATGTCATGATGTCCTATGCAAATGGGAAGTGATTCAAATCCCAAGGAAGAATTAAATGCAATCCCCTTTTCAGATGAATGAATATTACAGTCCCAAGGTCCAGGCATAAACACAGAGTCATTAGTAAAGCTAGATCCATCCAATATCCAAGTTGAAGCAAAGGAAGATGAGGAACAAAAGACCAATACACGTGCCCAGGGGTACCCCACTGCAGATGCACAGGTCAAAGCAGATAGCATCACCAGAAGGAGATTCTCAGGTTGACATAGGGATCTGTGTGTTTCATAGGTAACTTCTTTGTTAGTGCACATGGCTTTAACTTGTCCCCAGGTGGGCAGACTTGACTTCTGATAATATGGTTGATACTTCCTTTTGCCCTTTAGCTGGAGGTTTCCTATCTTTCTAATGAGTTCCATTGTCTCCTCACCCTCCACCATCATCCCTGATGGCCTGGGGCGGGAGAAGCCAAAGAGGAATGAATGCATGTTTCAGTGGATCCGTCTGCATCTGGGGAAGTAGAAATAGGACAGATTAATGCACCAGCTTGTTTATTTCCTTTTGCAATAAAACTAAGGAAGTTAGAGTGTGCACGAACTGAGTCTGTTGCTGGAAATAATCCTATAACATAAGCAGAATCTGAAATAATATTTAAGAGTTTATGAGTTAACCATAATAAATGAATCAAAACAGCCAATTCCACCTGTTGGGCTGAAGAAAAGGAAGTATTAGCAGACTGGTGAATATCTGGACTATGAATCTCTCATATATACCCTTAGATGAACCATCAGCTGAAGGTATAGACAGACAGTGGTGAACTGCCACATGGGTGCTGGGAACCTAACCCAGATCTGGGAGAGGAGCCAATGCTCCTAACTGCTGACCCACCTCTCCTGCCCCACTAAGAAAATATTTGACAACCTGATATCTACCATATAAATAACCTGTCTGCCTTTCACACAGGTACTGGGAGATGAGAGAGCAACGCACCCCCACTCTGAAAGGCAAGCTAGTTCAGAAGGCTGATCAGGAGCAGCAGGATCCGATGGAGTACCTCCAATCTGATGAAGAGGACGATGAGAAGAGTGGCGCCCAGCGCCGGCTGCAGGAGCAGCGAGAGCGGCTGCATGGGGCCCTGGCACTCATTGAGCTTGCCAACCTGACAGGGGCACCACTCCGCCAGTAGCCCCAACACTGACTCTTCACTGTACAAAAGTACTGCCCAGCATACTTACAAAGTAGATCCTTGGGCATAAGCTAAGCACCTTATTTGCTTATCATAGGCTGCTATTCTGTAGAAACTCATGAAGAATGTTGTTGCCTCAGACATGGGGTGAGAGAGAATTGCACTTTTTTTTTTATACAGAAATGGATTTGATGTAAAGTTTTAAATATTTTGTAAATATGGACTGCAGTTACAGGGTAGAAGCTACATGTTGTGGGAAGCTAGGTTTTGCAAGTTTAATGCATTCATTGGAAGCAGTTCTCACAGGAAGCACTTTGTGAATAAGACATTTGTATGAAAAGACAGATTGGTACAAATAGCCAAAGAAAGTTGAAATAGATTATTTATAAGATCATTTTAAACAGTGTATGTTAGTATGTGTGACAGTACTGTAAACACTGAAGCGGGCCGTGTGAGACATATGTATAAGATACATATTTTTAAATTGCAAAATAGCATGCCCAATAAGTCTAGAGAAATGGCAGGCCAACTATTTGGAAAGATGCTATAAGTTATGGACTTGGAAGAAAATAGATATTTGAGGATCTTGGTAAGGGGTAGTAGTTGAGAGTTTTTTAAATTGTTGTAAAATGAGTCTTACCCCATTTTTCTGGGCTTTTTAACTCACTGTAATGCTGACGCTTAGAAAGCACTCGTCACTCAGCCTGTTGACTGGGGACTTTTGCACATTGCTCAGCTGCTGGACCTGAGTGATTAATCTTGCAAAGTCTAGGTAACCTGGCAACTGGTGCACGTGTGTGTGTGTCTGTATGTGTGTACACCAGTGAGCTCCTTTTTGGGCCCTGTAATGAGATTGGCACTTGTGTTTATGTTAATAAAAGGGACATCTGCAGGGTTGTTTGTAGTGAAATGTTCTAGGTCTTTTGATGGTAAACACTAAATTTTAATTGTACTGCTTGTTTAGCATTATTAGTGGATGGAAGCCTCCATATTTACATTTTCAGTGCATATTGCCACCTTTCTGCTTCACTTCAGAATAACATGCCAAGCTATTTTGTGTTCACTAAATTTAACTATCAGTTAAACACTTGAGTAAATATTAGCTACTCAAATATGCAGGCTTCTGAGATAGTTTTAACTGCAAGTGTGCTGTCTGGTGGTTCAAAACCATTTTCTCCAAATAGATGAAGTTGTGGAACACACGTAGTGTACTTAGGCATGGACAGAGTCCAGGGCTGAGCATCCACCTCCTCTGTGGAGTCAGGAATCTCACTTGAGCTTTTGTTAAAAGGTAGATGAAATTATATGCAGAACATGGTGATTTAGACTCCTTAATTGGAGACTTCAAAGTAATAGGAGGAAGGTGGGCTCCTCAGTGCCTTTTTTCTTTGAGTTGAGATAGCACCCTACAAGTTTAGATTACACATTATAGAGAATGTAGGCTTTGTTATCAGAAATCTCTGTGGTTATAGTACACAGGTAGTTAAATTGTGTGGCCTTGGAGGGGGGAGGTAAGGAGATGTCTTGAGAAGCGCTAGTGTGAAACTGAAGAAGTGGTAGTTAAAATAATGTGTATGACGAGGACATACTTTAAAAAATGGAATTCCTCTGTAAAGTCAATTACAGATCTTTAGGGGCTTTTTTTTGTAATAACAGAATTTATATTTGTAATGGTCTAAAAATTTTATTTGTAGTCTGGTATGTAGAATTTTTAACTTGGAGCACTTATAAGTATGGTAAGAGACCATAGCATATGAATTTTTTTGGTTTGGGGTTCAACATTTTCTCTAGAATTTTTCCTGAGATGAATGGGAGTGTATGGATTGAAGTGCAACACTCATCAGTACTGGGAAGTTCAAAATCTGATCAACTCACCTTATGGACAGCAGTACAATTTGAAAAATGCAATTAGCCAATTCACAGATGACAAAGGGTCTTCAAAAAGTAAGGGTTTGGTTTCTTTCTCCAGATGACTTTTGTCAAACCATTACAGTTACATTCCCAAGTATTTTTATTTGTATGATTGGACAGTTTAAGAAATTATTCCAACTGCTTACCATTGGCCATGTTTTAAAAGGTTCTTTTTTTTTTTTTGATATAAGCTATGTACTTGGACAAAATACATTGGCATCTAAAATTTGAGGTGTGTTATGACTGCTTTTTGTTTTAAAAATGTGGTTACATTCAGATTTTTGAAGTGTTTTATGCTTCATATGGCTAAGTTGTAGTTTGGCAGAGTTAACAGCATATTAATAAACATGCTGTAATGTTAAAAGATGCTTTGAATAAAATTTTATTTTAATTTAAAGTTTAAAGTACATGTGTCATTCTTGCAGTTTTTATAATTTGTTTCTCTATCAAAGATAAAATAACTGATATAACAACAAAACCCTAGAAAGTAGAAACAACTCACAACCTGACATCCTTTATCTTATCTGTCTCAGTTTTTTTCAGGGTTATGGGACTGAATTCAGAGCCTCAAAAAAAACTAGGGAAGCATCCTAACACTGAGCTACATATACCCAGCACTCAGGCTTTTTTTTTTTTTTTTTTTTTTTTTAACACAGTATGAATTACTACTGCTTTAAAATTATGGTTTGAGACAGAGTCTCACTTTGTAGCCCTGGCTTGCCTGAAACTCACTATTTAGATCTGCTTGTCTGTGCCTCCTGAGTGCTAGGATTGAAGGCTTACCCCGTGGACACTGGCCTGGATTGTTAATTTCCTCACCTCGTTCATTATCACAGTGCTAAAATTATGCTGGGGCTGGGGAGATGGCCCAGTGGGTCAAGTGCTGTATAAGCCTGAGGACTGGAGTTTGAGCCCCAGCATAAAAGCTGAGTAGGGCGATACAGGTCTCTAACCCTGGAACGAGGGAACTCTGGCTTATTGGCCATTCTATTGAAATTGGCAAACTCCAGGTTCAGTCAAAATAAGGGAAGGAGAGTGAGGAAAGTTCCCCATGTTGCAGCGCAGAGGTGGTGGCACACACTCTTAATCCCAGCACTCAAGAGGCTGAGGCCAGCCAGTTTCTGTGGGTTCAAGGCCAGCCTGGTCTACAGATGGTTTTCCAGGATACCCATGGCTATACAGAGAAACCCGTCTCTAAAAACAAACAAAAATCCCATTGTCAACCTCTAGCCTCCGCATGTGGTGGGATGAGTGAGTGCATCTGTATATATGTATGTTCACACACATGAACTGAGGTTAGGTCTCAAACCTGGGACAAATGGCCCACTTGGAGGTATTTATTAACATATCAAAGTAGACTGTAGCCATCAGGTTCTGACAGCACCCCTGAGGCCCTACCTGTTTGTTACAGGGTCCTCCTGGCTGGTATAACCTACCCCCTAGCCTGAACTCTCATGCCCAGGGGCTGGGCTGCCCTTCCCTCAGCTGCTTTTCCCATTTTGGCTATGCCAGGCCTTTTGGCCTCTTGATCTCCTGGCTCCCTCCCCCGTCCCCTTTCCTCACTTGGCCAAGCTTAGGGTTTTGTTCACTCTAGATTCATCCAGATGCCTCTGCCTCTGGCTATGTTTTCCCTTTTACCTACAATAAACCACTATATCTAGGAATAGTCACGTGCTCCTTCTTATTTACTTTCCTCATTCAACTATACTGGTGTAGTCAATTTTTAGAAAATAAAAACATGGGTGGGGCCGTGGAGGGAGGACTTGTGTGTAGGTTCTGGGTCATCAGGCATGGTAGCAAGTGGGTTTTTTTGTTTGTTTGTTTTTATCTGCTTTGCTGTCTCAAAGGCTCTGGTGTAGTTAAGTATTGACTATTGCCGGCCCTATCCCAGGCCTTAAATTAGAGTAATAAGGAGTGTAGTGAGCCTCCCCTTTTTGGGGGGATGGGAAACCCTTTGGACCTAACAATGGTGTGTGCAGACCTCACAAACAATGCTAGCCAGGCTGTGGAATGGTAGTTAATACTAATGAGAAGTCCTGATGTGAGAACATGAGAATAGATGTTTAAGAGTGCCCAAGTGCAGGCTTCTGCTGGGATTAGTACCCTAAGCTTCATGACTTTAAAATACTGTTTTGCAAAGTTTATGTGGAGAGTGACCAGAAACAACAGACCTTTGGAGGAAATCGGCCCGAGTGACTATATTCAGACTTTTCCTTTATGATTTATTTTATTGTTAATTCTGGCCAATGTTGGTGTATGTCTGTACATTGAGTATCCATGCCTGCTCCGGCCAGAAGCATCAGGTCTGTGTGGAGCTGGGGTTACAGGCAGTTTTGAGCTGCCTGGTCTGTATGCTAGAACAGCTTGGGTCCTCAACAAGAACAACTAGAGGTCCTAACCCCTGTTCTTCTCCAGTCCATACTTCAGATTTTAAAATCTCATGTGCCTTTGTCCCCTCCAACCCCGGAATAATTTGTGCTCTTCTAGCCAAATATTTCAGTGGTAGGCCACTTTCCAAAAGTTCCGCTCAGCTTCTAATCCAGCTGTTGGCAGCTTTAGCTTTTACACAATTTAGGCTTCAGCTTTATTTAAAGGGAAATCTTAAGCATTTCTAAAAGGCTAAAGTTTCAGATTTTTCAATTAATTATTTCAGATAAAAAATATGGGACACTTTATTGGAGATAACACTACAGCTGTTCTGCAGCTCCGAGCCTTTCTTTATTCACAAGAACCAGTGGTCCCGCACTGCTGTCCTAGGGAGAAGTGGGCCCTGGATGAGGGAGGCCTGAATTTAGCAAAAAGCGTTCAGAAGAAGAGAAGCCGGATACTTACTTGGCTCGCCCTGTCCTGCTGCTCCAGGGTAGGCATTTATGAACGAGAAACAGAGGTGCTCCACACAAGTGTTTGTCCTGCAGTGTGTCTGGAAGTACTTTAGTGATAGTTGAACCCTGGGAACGACCACCATTCCATCACTGAGAGTGGACGATGAGTAACAGCGGTAGTTGGCGCTTCCATCCCCGAAGGAAGGTCTAGCCGAGCGCCACCGTCGGGGAGGGCCTAGGGGAACCCTTACTCTTTATGCGGAGTGTTGAGCTTGGGTTTGCGTGTTTGCTTGGGTGTATTAATTGTCAGAAAACGCATCTCAAACTAGGGACTTGGGCGCATGCTGAAGGATGTATATACTATTTTAAACAAAACAAAACAAAAAGCGGAAGCCTTGCTGGGGGTGTGGCCCTAGAGCGAGCGGTCTGCAGGACCGGGGTAAGGCCGGCTTTTCAGCAGTACCTGGCGCTGAGCGCACCAGGGGTGCGGGCCG